TTTTTTTTTTTTTTTTTTTTTTTTTTTGTGTGATAATCAGAGCCAGGTGATTAAACCCGCTCTGATACCATGAGAAAATTCATAATAAGAACTGAAAAAGAACAAATGCTCAGAAGATTTTCTTGCTGTATAAATGCCATAGCGGCTGAGAGCTTACAAAGATGATATACAAACCAAACCCTAACCTATAACATTTATAGCTAGCTAAAGAAGAGTCTAGACTATAGCTTAGATTGCTGCCACTTGTCTATCATCTAGCCTATTGTTATGGTGGGAGAAAGGTGCCAAGGAATATGCTCTACATTGCTTGTGATTGGTTGGACTGTCCTTGGGAGTGAGAGACCCGTTGCTGCTGTCTTCATGCAAAGAGACAAGGCCTGCTGACCTCATGCTGATGTCATGCTGAATTGAGGGCCATGCTGAGTACGTGTAGTGGTCATGCAAAGATGATGAGCTTGGCTTAATGGTTTTCAACAATACGAGATCCTCATAGATCTCAACATGGACATCCAACCCAAAGCATAAAATAAAAGAGAGGAAAAAAAAGTTAATTACTAAACTAAAAAGTTAGGAAATGAGGAGAGTTAGTCCAACAAAGCAACAAGTCTATTTATAGTTACACAACAAACACATAGTAGAAACACACGTATTTAATGAAAAGAACTCGCGGGGTTGCGAGCTGGAGTACTTCGCGGGCAAATGTGGCAGTAGGTGGATGGGAGCACTCGCGGGCTCGCGGAACTGGGTTCGCGGGCGAGTTCGACATGTGGGCAAAAGGGGAGCACTCACGAGCTCGCGGGTTGCAGTCCGTGGGCGAGTTCGGCGTCCTTCCTCACGGGGCACTCGCGGGCTGGCGGACAGGCGTCGTGGGCGATTTCAGCGCCTCTCTCTCTTGCACGACTCAGATGGTTTGGTCCATGGCTCAGGTGGCTCGATGTTGGTTCGGGTGGCTTGAAAATGGCACAAACGGCACATCTTCCTGAAATTGTAAATGTGACCTATTCAACACACCAAAAGAGATGAGAAAATACGGGAAAATACAAAAACACACAACACGACAAAAATACGCAAAATATAATGGACGGGTCAACACTAAAACTAACCTAAAAAGACTCAACTAAATCATATAAAGCACACTAAAACTAACCTAAAAAGACTCAACTAAATCATATAAAGCACACGAAAATAACCACAATAAACAGTGATCCGTTAAAATGTGAAGAGGCTCTCTCACGTGTCAAGATAAAGTTATATAAACTTTTTGAGCATTATATGATTACTACCGGCTCACATTCTTCATAAGCACAACATTATTTCTTATTTATGATCATTGTTTAAGTAAACATTCAATAATTAGTTTTTGTTTCATTATTTTTGTTTCATTTTTCTTCTTCCACTTTTGAACTATTTGTCTAAATTTTCGGAAACGCCTCCGACGAGTGAGCTGAGATGGTTGGCTTCGGATTGAGTAAAAGGGACGCCGAAAAATGTGCAAGGTGGCCGGCGAGTGGGATTGAAGTTGCCGGAAAATAAATGGGTCGCCAAGAAAAGTTGACGATTCCAGAGATGGTAGACGTTGTCAGGTGTGCAACGGAACAAGGAGTTCGAAGTTGTCTTCGAATTCGGTGGGTCACCGTGAATTGCAAGAAAATTAAAGAAGAAGACCGAATTTTGACCAGAATTTTTAGATCTAAAAACTTTGACCCAAGCAATTGACGGCCTTACCGGTGTAAGTTTCGCCGAAATTTTAGGAGGTGAACGAGGACGAAAATAGCTTTAAGATGATGTTAACAAAATCGATCGGAAGTGTTCGACCGACGGCTGGCGAACGACTGCGACGGGGCGGCTAGATGAAGAAGACATAGAGTTTGGAATTAAATGGGTTATTTTTAAAAATTTGATACGTTTTATCGACTATTTTGCAATTCTAAAAGTTTTAGCTAATTGAAATTGAGTTCTTATGCTGACGTGGATCATTTAGTTTTGAACTCAACATTTTACAATCTCGCCACATAAGCCACAATCACGCTATGTCAGGTTTAAAAATGTCCTGTCACAATTTTATCTAAGATGCAGATAAAAAAAACACCAAAATTAATTAATTAAACTCTCGAATTAATAGATTCAATTAAAAAATGGTCAATGACGGATGAAAAATTAGACTTTGACAAAACTATAGGATCAATTTTTTGCCGATATAAGCACAAGCAAGATCGTGGAACAATAGTTCTATCAACACTACAAGAAAATGATGAAATTCTAACGGAAATATATTTCAAAAGAATTATTCCAACGGCAATTCCAACGGATATTTCAATACTATTATTTCCGTTGGAAGTTTTCAATGGATTCTAACGAAAATATTCCATTGGAATGGGTTTTCATTGGAATTTCCGTTGGATTTTGACGATTCCAACTGTGGATTTTCCAACGGGGGTGGAAAAAAAATTCCAACGGAATTTGCATATTCCAACGGAAATTCCTACGGTAAAAAGCCGTTCGAAATATAGCTGTTGGAATCATCAAATTCCATCTAAAATTCCAATGAAAAACACATTCCAACGGAATATTTCCGTTGGAATTTCTGTTGGAACTATTCCAACGGAAGCAATTCCAATGGAATATCTTTTAGAATTTTCAATGGAATATATTATCATATGATTTTTTGTTGGAATATAACATTTATTTTGTAGTGCAAGTCGCAACTCTCAAATCTCCAAATAGTATGAAACATTTTGTTGGAATATAACATTTAGCTAATTGAAATTGAGTTCTTATGCTGACGTGGATCATTTAGTTTTGAACTCAACATTTTTTACAATCTCGCCACATAAGCCACAATCACGCTATGTCAGGTTTAAAAATGTCCCGTCACAATTTTATCCAGGATGCAGATAAAAAAAAGACCAAAATTAATTAATTAAACTCACGAATTAATAGATTCAATTAAAAAAAAAGGTCAATGACCGATAAAAAGTTAGACTTTGACAAAATTATAGGATCAATTTTTTGCCGACATAAACACAAGCAAGATCGTGGAACAATAGTTCTATCAAGTCGCAACTCTCAAATCTCCAAATAGTATGAAACCTTTTTTTTTT